TTTTAATTTATACTTATTCTAAACATATTTTGATCATTATATACTTTAAATTATTATTTCAAATTTTTTTATTCAATCACGGAAATAATTTTCTATAATCTTTCTTCTTATCTCTTTTCACTTTCTACTCTTTTTCTCTCTATCCAAAAAATCCATTTTTTTTCTTTTTTTTTCTAACTACTCAAATTCACTTTCTAATCCAAACACACATTTAATATAATTTTCTTAGTATCAAAGTCGAGTTTACGTCACATAAATAATTATTTAACATCATTAGATAAAGAAACCATATTTAAAGTTTTATTTAAAAATAAAGATAAATGTATCAAAATTAAAAAAATAAAATAAAATTGTGGAATAGTATAAAAATAAAAAAACATATTTAATCTATAAAAAAAATTAGAAATATTGTGGAATGAGTGCTATTTATCTCTCACGTTAAATTGTTAATTGGTTTTTCAATTCTTTCTCCTTAACTGCTATTAGCTATTTCATCTTATTATCATCCAACATTTAAGTTATTAACATCCAAATAATTATTAAGTCAATATGGTCTAAGCAATTTTAGTCCAATATTTAGTTAAAATTCATTATTTTGTAAGAAATATAGAATTGTGAAACATATCGAAACTTGTAAGAAATATGTTAATAATTTGTGTTATTAAACTAATTTTGTTAAATATTGTATTAAATTAGGACGGATATAATTGTAAATTAACTTAATTGAGAGCAAGTAAATAAATATAATTATAACATGTTTTTAAAGGTAAAATAAAATCATTTTATGAAGAAAGAAAAACACACACACACATATTTTAACATAAAATATGTTAAAACATTTCTAACCCAATTACCATTACAACACAAAATCAACCTAATCAATACAGAAGTTATACATTTAAAAGAACAAGAGAATATAATAATTATGAATTTCACCATTCATCACGAGTGAAAGTTTGACTTAATGATTCCACTGATATAGAATGGAAGAATAAGAAAATATGAAAAACAAGAAGATAAGAACAAAAGATAAAAGAAAAAAGCAACATAAAAACTAGAAAGAAAATAAAGTTGGCATGAGAATAAAAAGACACTAAGAATAATAAAAGAACAAGAACTAAGGATAACACTTAATAACAAAAATCACTCTGATAAGTGTTTCTAGAAAATTCATTCAAATTCTCATATAACAACCCATGATCAGAAGGAATATAAATAAAGAGTTAACCGGATACCGTGACAAAATTCGATTGTTCCATATCCATTAGCTAAACAAGACTATAAAAAAAATTATAATATTGATTTATTGTTCTAAACGGGCATTATAAAAATATATGCAAGAAAAATAATTATAAATATCTAATTAATATTTGCTTCTATTTTTGGGTTGATATAGACTCAAAATATATTATTTTATAATTAAAAAAATTATTAATTCATTTAAAAACAAGATATATTAACCTTAAATTTGTTACAATATTATCGTTAGGTAAATTATTGTAAATTTGTTACAAGTTTTAATCTATTATTATTTTATTTTTAAAAAATATGTGAGACGGATATATCGAAATTATATTTTTAGTTTCCCAATAAATATTAATATTTTATTTAAAAACAAAAATATTTTGATTTTAAATAAGTTATAATGATATTATTGTTAGACAAATGACATCTAGAGGGTGAATAGATGTACAAATTAAATTAGATGTCAAATTAAAAAGTTATTTTAAGATGTCCAATAATTTATTAATTCAATTTTAATGATTAGATAAAACAAAGATAAAGCGGAAACGATATAATTAGGAAGATGAAGGAAAGGAAATGAGTAGATGTTATCACAAAGGTATAAGGAAAAGAAGAGCACACAGTAATTTATACTGGTTCGGATATAGTCAACCCTACATCCAGTTCTTAGTCAACTCTAATTACAAGAGTCATCTCAATTCACTATTTTTCAAATTTAGTTTACAAATTACAATCAACTCAGTAGAGGAACCAGTAAAAAGTAAACTAATTAAAAAAACAATCACCTCCTTAAAAACCTACTAAGAATGAACACCTTCCTAGAATCTCATTAGGGATGAACAACAAGTCAAAGATGAAAAACACCTCCTTTGCCACCAACACACAAAGGATGAACACCTCCCTAAAATCACAGTAGGGATGAAAATCTCCTCGAATAAATCAAAGGGATGAAAACACCTCCTTAAAATCTCACTAAGGATGAACAAATCAAGGGATGAACAACAACAACTTAAACCTTACAAAGGGGATTTAACAACAACCACTTAAACCCTAAACAGGGAATCTAATGATAACCACCTAAACCCTGAACAGGGAATTTAACATCAATTTTCTAAACCCTAAAAAGGATGAGGGCAATAAAATAAGAACAGTCACACAAGGGTAATGGAGACTACAAAATGTAGAAGCCTGTAGAATGTCAACCTCCAAGAACAAGTGTGATTAACAATGAAATCACAGAAGACAGTAGAGAAGAAGGTTTTCACAGAAGGTGTAAAATATCTCTGTTTCCTTACTCAGAATTATTTTCTCAAAACTGATTGAATGTAAATTGAATTTTTGAATTCTGTAATTGTGTATTTTTTATTTTTCATCAAAACTCATTTAAATAGGAAAATAACATCATAAAATAGTCGTTGTTCATTAATACTTTCGTAGAAAAAAAAAATCAGGATGTATTCAAAAATATTTTTTCTTCAAAGCAGATATATTTTTCAAATATAAACTGTCATAATCGATTATGTTACATTATAATCAATTATGACAAAAAGAAAATCGTTTTTCCATTTTTGATGCATCATAATTGATTATGACAGTGAATAATGTCATATTACAAAATTTTATCACACTTGTGCTTTAGAGGCTTATGCATAATACCACTTCATCAACTTGTACATCCATATCCAGTATTCTATGACTCTATTTAATCTTCAGGTTTCATTTTGGGTTTGCTTGAATCTTGAATGTTGTTGACTTGAATCATTATCAAAATCATCTCTTGTAAATGTAGGGACATGTTTCACATTGTCATTAATCTCCCCCTTATTACTTTCAATTATTAGATTTAATCATTAAGATATTTTTTATTTTAAAATTTTAGTTTAACGTTAAAACTTTACTTTTTCATAATTTTGACATATTTATAAATTAAGAAAAAATGATATTTATAAATTATTTTTAATATCAAATTCTAAATGATATTAACTTAGTATATAGTAAAATAAATTTTAATTTATAGAAAAATAAAATAAATTAAAATTTATAAATCTTAAGTCTAAGAAATATAAAATAAAAAAATATTTTTTCATACTTTTTGTCACTTTTCTATAAACAAAAATATTTTGTCTTGTTTTTATCACTTTTCTATAAAAATAAAATAAAATTAGTATATTATCTACTTATTTTCTTAATCTTCATCGGTGCATTCAGCGAATGATTACCTATTTAAAATGAATTATAACAGTCTAAGATTTAATATCTAACTAAATGAATATTCAAAGTTTTTTTAGCACGTGATATTATGTCATATTCAAATAATTGATCGTATATGAACTTGTTTTTCCCTAAAAAATATTATATATTATCTTGCTTACGAATTTTTCATACAATAATAAATTATATAAGCACTCTTATTTTTATTTATTTATTTATTAATTATTATTATTATTATTATTATTAGGTTGAATGTTGTGTTTAAGGTTTAATTATATTGTATTTATAATATATTTGTTTATTAAAAATATGATAATTTAGATTATTTTTTTAATTATTTGACTATATAATTTATTTATAAATTTAAGATAAATTAAAATTATGAATATAATCTTAACTGTGCAACTTTTTATAATATGCCTCTTTATTTAAAATTTTCATCATAAAATATATAAAAACTAATGTTTTTATAATTTAAAAAAATATTTAATAATTTCATAATAATAAAAATTGAAAAAATAATTTAAATAAATTTATAAATATAATTTAATTTAGCTTAAAATTTATATTAAAGTAAAATAAATTTAATCAATCACATTTTATTTTTACATTTGGATGAGATAATTATTAAAAAAATATATATAACCAAAGTCAGAAACACCCCACCCTAGTTTATAATGACTCCCTGTGTGACAAACTTTTACACAGTCTTCTTCGTATCATCTCCAATGACTAAACTGTAAATAGTCATGAAAACTTATCACACCCTTTCCCTTAAAAAAAATAACTATTATTGTCATAATATTCATAACTAAGTAACCTTAAAATTGTTACTTCACTCTCACTAAATAACTTCAACTTCAACTACAAAATCAAATCAAATAGTTATGTTAACTTTTAAGTTTAACAACCAATAATAATAATAATAATAATAATATTATGTATGGATGATTATAAATATAATTGTTATAATTTTTAACGTCTAATAGTACACAATTTTTTTAAATGTTAAAAACATCACCGTTAAGATTAAACATTTTAATTAAGTTAAAATTCACAAGTAAAAAATATTTCAATAAGATATTTTTATTATAATAGTCAAATAATTGGAACAATGTTGTATCTTTTTTATCTTTAAATTAATTTAACCAATTTTAATTGGCTCACGCGGCAAGATTATTTTCAATAGGACTAGTTTAGAGTTTGTTTTAAAAAGATTATTTAATTAAGTGTAAAACAGCTTAAAAATAATCCTATTAAATGCGATAAAATTTATTAAGAGTTAATTATATATATTTTTTATATATGTAATAGAGAATGAAAGGAGTGGGTGACATCATTCCCGTTAAAGGTATACATGTAGATTTTCCTTTTACAATTCCCCGAGCGAATCAGATGCAGATAAAAATACCATGATTGTCCATAGCAGTGCCTTAAGTAAAGGATTCATCAGGAATCATTGGCGTAGGAAACAAATCAGCAAGCATTAGGAATGGAAAACGAAGTGTGAGGATGAATCATTCATTGACTTACGAATAAAAGCTCTATTCCCATTGAAAGGGAAACAGTTGAGGGGCTTCATTGCAGTGGGATCCATCAGAACCCAAGCTATACATGGAGGAACAATGGTCACTCCCATTGGGAACCAACACTCGCTCCACAGACTCTAAGTTGCTGTTATCCTGCAGGCTCAGGCCTAAGGGCTGCATCAGGGACATCGAGGGAGGCTGCACCATTTGGTTCAAACCATTCCCAGGAGTGTGCGTCTGTGATGATGACAGAAGAGAGAGAGCACAAGGAGTGTCATGCACCGAATTGGTCGTCGGTAAGCCTTCACAGAACATTTTGCTTCTCCCTCCGCAAGTTTCTGATAGAGGGCTGGTCCTGAGAAGCGTGTGGCACACAGAATGAGAGGGAAAGGAAAGGCTTTGGTTGCTGAGTGCACCTGTGGAGGGATGGTTACCGTGTAGGAACGCCACTTGCTTCCCTTCTTTGTGAGAAGATCCCAGAAAAAGGTCTTGTTTATCAACCAAGTGCACTTGATGGTGGTGGCCACCATGGTGGTTGTGCAACCTGGTATCTGCAGAGGAAGTGACATGTCCTCCACTCCAAACCGGGCTCATCATGGCAGTGGAAGGATATACGTGTGGATTTGAGAAGGGTAGCAATTGGGTACCTGAAAAATCTTGAATTTCTCAAGGACGATATACTTTTATGTCAAGGGAAGTATTATGTTAATAACAAAAATGAGAAAATGCAGATGCTCGATGAGAACTTATTATATTTTATGATCTGGACATACCACATGTTACGATCCATTAATTTTTAATTCAGGAAGGGAGTTAATGAAATCCAACTACATGTCACACAAAAATTGACTGAAACTTTAGAAATTTGATGATTTCAAATCATATAATATTTCTGATTGTGTGCGAAGACATTTTGCAAACCAAGGCACAAGATAGGTATGAATATGATCTTATAATCTCAGCGACAATTTCTTATTGATGATATAATAGATCATAAATGGAAAGGAGCATCTTCAGAAGCAACTCCTATTACAGTTCTTAAAATGGTAAGCATTAATTAATATAATTATTATTATTATGTAAAGCTTTCACTTTAATCTTTAAGTTGGTAAAACGTCATTTTAGTCCCCTATCAAATAAATGACAGAGGAACGAATTAAAATGGATGGTTTTCTTTTTCTTTTTTTACAAAAGCAAGAACAAAAACAAGAATGATGTGAAGTCAAAGATCAGAATGATTGATACACGGACTCTGAAGCACATGGGAGTTTACTGAAAATGTTTTTCCTTTTTGATGGGTCTATATGTAGTGACATATTATTTAGTGGCCACTAGATTGTCATGAGCGTGGACATAAATGGACCAAATCAGCCATATGAGGTATGTGGGCAGCGCACTCATTTAGCTAAGTGCATTGTTTCCACATGAAACTTCTTACTCTTTTGAGACTCATGTACCTATGTTGGTATGTATCTTTTGCTAATGCCTGCATGAAATCCACGCATATATGCACATGGGTCCATTCAGATAATGTGGTAGTAGAACAAGAACCAGTACCAGCAAAACCTTACCTTGGTAATTCGATAAAAAACTACCAGGTCGTGTGAGAGGTTCTGGCTGAGGCTTTCTTCTCCGTCTGTTGTGTCCATCTAAACGTTTTCTGCAGCTTCTTTTTCTCTCATCAAATTGCTCCAGCGAATGGAACCTACCAAATAAAGATAAGTTTCAGAATATGTGCAATATGAAAATGGAATCAAGAATATAAAATCAAATCCACAAGAAACTAAGTATGGTGAAAAATATTCACCACGGATTTACCAGAAGTACTACAAGCAATATACCTATACACAGTGTATCTTAACAGAACAACACAGCTCAGATTGTAGATAAACTTCTGTAATTAATTGCGTTGTGCGCTGAGATATTTTCAGCTTAATTCTCCATATATTTAGCAGAGGTATTTGGTTTATAATAACGTGGCATACATATAAATATAGTATAAAAAAAAAACACAAGCACTAACAACACCAGGGTTTCAAACTATTATCTGTAAACTGAAGTACTCATAATTAAATTATATTTTTTGGAATGAGACTGAGATGTGGTCGGGTAAATTTTAAAGTGAAAATAGGTTTGGTATGTGTGAGATTCGTTTTGGTTCATGAAATTAGCTTACAGAGAATCTTTTTCTAATACTCTCGCAGTACATTCTGATTTTATATGGTTTAAAATTTTTTAAAGAAAAAAAAAGAGAAGAAAATTTTCTATATTTAGAAAATCAATGGTAAGGAAGTAAATACTGATACCTGCTTCTTCTAAAGAACGCTAAGGGAAGATGCTAATGGTAGGGGAAAGCAAAATAAAGTAATTTGGTGGCGCATGAGTACTTGTGAAGCTAACATGAATAATGGATACGGAAGCAATGGAAACAACACAAATTAAATGTCCATGAGGAACAATGAAAAGAAAAGGGGGCAAAGACACAAAAAAGCAAATAATTAAGAGGACAAACTACAGCTTACAAGCAATCTAGAACTCAATTTCAAACAAAAGAACAAAAGCAAGGGTATATATGATATGATATGATATGATCCAAACCTGCTACATTGCTGGCAGAACCTTTGCTTGAGGCCACCGATTGTGACCTCTGGGGACTTGGAATGGAGTTCACACACCTTGTGGCGCCTATGATAATCTCTACAATTGCTAAGATCTGAATTGCACCCGTCCACAAGGCATGACACAGTCAGGGTTGTGCTGTTAATGACTCTGGCTCTCTTAGAAGACCCTGAAGGTGAGGATGCCACTTTGGAGACACCAGCACCAGCAGGAACATCTTTGGACTTGGCCAATGCTGATTCAGTGCCAGAATTCCCCACATGACCAAGCTTCAAGTCAACAGAAAACTCCCCCTTCATTCTATAAACTCCAAATCTGTTATGCTCCTCCATTGATTCTATGTTGGGTATGGTAGCCTTATCCACATCCACCAAATCCCAAGAAGGTGCTTTCAAATTCCAGTCCATAACAAAGTAATAGAGAAAAATTAAAATTCCACTCCCCTCCCCACCCTTCTACTTCTCCACAGTCCCCCTTTGTTTGGTTACCTTCTATATGTGTTACATACCATAGGTCACAGTTGCATGAAGAGCAACAAAAAATTGAGCAGTGAGAAAGGCATGAGCTTGTATTGCATTATAAATAGTGAGACACTAGGGAGAACCAAACTTAAATTAACAACCCAATTGAAAAACACATGGGTAAATATCCAATTCAAGAAGAATAGAAAGTGATTGATGATAGAGGAAGAGAAAATCATGAAAAACTAGACAGACACAAACAGGCAATTATAAGACAAACACATTGGACAAGTTTTTGTCCGTACTAGGAAGAAATGAGCTTGCATCAGAGGGGTTAAATATTAAGCATAATTAAATAAACAAAGACTTGACTACCTACAGTTAGTCAAGTAGAAAGAGTTCCAAGGAAAATGGAACAAAAAATTCTGAAGGTTACCAAACAAAGCATAGTGAAGCAACTAAAAGCATAAAAATAGAAAGCAGATAAATAAATAAATAATAAACAGTCATTGAAGGAAGGAAGAGAGTACTTTCACTTGCAGACAACAGCAGCAGAATGATGCTCACTTCTTCCTTCACCCACCACTGGTTGCCTGACATGGATTCCATGAGTACCCAATGGAGTGAATAGTAAAATTTAGAGGAAAAAAAATATCTTTTTTATTATTTTATTAATTAATGAGGGAGAGAGTATTGTAAGTTAGGTGAGAGGGAATCCCAAAAACCATACCTGTTAGGCACTTAAAGGATATGAAGTCATGGATTTGTGCACACAGTAGAGTGGATAATGTATTGAAAGTTGATACTGAAGAAGGAGGAGAGAGAGAGAGAGAGAGAGAAAAGGGAAGACCAATGAGAGGTAAAAAGGTCTGGATGATATGCTCTTAGAAGTTGAAGAAAATATTTAAATATTTAATTTTGCCAAATATAGGGGCTTCCTCCCCTCCCCCAGAGAGTGTAGTAGGTTGAGAGAGAAAGAAAGGAAGATGGATAATAAGGACAGGCTGTTGGTTGCTTTCAACTTTTATGAGTCAGGAAAAAGAAGTACAAAGAATGGATGCTCAAGACAAGGCATGTGGCATTATGTTTCACATTTCATGGCATGTCTTTCCCCCGCCCCTCTTTTCTTTCATCTAATTCACTTACCACTCCATTCACAACACCCCTCTATCACACCCCCCAGCAAAGAGACTCACCAAAAATATAAAACCTGGATACATGGTTTATAAATTTTCTAAAAAGTTTGATTTTTTTTCTTTTTAATTATGAGTGTGAATACGTGACATTCCAAACACCTCTTTGATTAAAGAAGTTGTGTTTCATGACTTGTGTTTTTTATGTTTAAATATAAAACACATGTTTTTAATGTTTCAATAAGAAAAAACTGCCGTGTTTTGAAACATGATTCTGTTTTCCAGTTTTTAAAATTAATATAAAATTATTATTTTTAATACATATTAAAAACTTAAAAGTTTTATTTCAAATGCGATCTCTCTTTTAAAATACCCTTTATAAATGTAATTTTTCTTTTGCTGGAATAAGACACAAAAATAAATAGATTTAATTGTATTTTTATGAATTTTGTCATTAAACTATAAAATTTATATATTTTGTCTCTTAATTTTTTGCAGGCATTCAACCTTTTCTTGCACTTTGGCACCCGATTTTATGTGTTTTTTTTTCTTTGTATATAAACAGCAGACATCTTGGTATTATATCAACATAACATCAGAAGATAACTAATCAAATTTTCAATTGTACAATTAGAATTAATTATGTCTGCTCATTCAAGTTAATTAAAAAATTTCCAATAAAAATTTAATTAAAAATATTCCTTTATAAGAACAAATATCTAGAAAACTAATGGCCAACTGTTATATCCTTCATAACTTTTCCTTTTCTAATTTATTTTATTTTATTTTATTACATGGATAGAAATACACCTTGTTAGCGTGAAGATTTCTCATAAAATAGTGTTGAAACTTAATCCTTCATTACTAACAGTATATATATCAAAGTAGATAAAAATGTAGTCATATGAATAAATAATAAAATAAAAAATATAATAATAAAAAAAAATCATCTTGTATATTTCATTAAAAAATATATCTTATTCTCCCATAGATATCTTTCCATTTTTGAGGGAAACAAGTTTTTCATGAGACACATGTGTAATCATTTGGAATGTCTAAACCATTTAAAGTCATCATTTGTATACATAGATTTCATTATCATAGAAAACGCTTCCACAATTTTTTGTATTAACTCAATACAGATTTTTATTTTGAAGTAAATTTAATGTCAATAAAAGTATCATATGTTTATAAATATTCTTTAAGAAATGTATTGTTTTTCTTTCCTTTTATTTTGAGTGGACTAAAAATTTGACAATAGGATTTCTGAAAAACGTCACTCATCCCAAAATTGTTCCAAATCAAGCAAGCTTAATCATGAAAATTTTGAAGTGATGAAGTAAAAAAAGACATGCACGTACAACTTCTAGATCTTCTCATTTATGTCAAACCATTAGAAACCTATATCTCTACATTGTGTGTGTTTCATCTGTTTTACGCTAAGAATCACTCTCCATCTATGTCCACAATGAGCTTTGGCATCACTTAGACACTTGTTGAAATGAAAACTGAAAATCATATTTGAAGTGAAGGAAAATAAAATAACCCACCTGACGATAATGAATGCTAAACGGTCCAAATTTTGAAATGGAGAGAGAGCGCGTATCTTGAATTGAAACAGAGAAATATTGTGTTAACCTTATGAATTATGGAAGCTATATATATGTAAAAAGGTACTTAGTAGTAGAAGTGATGGTGGTAAAAATTTCTAAATTTGCTTAGTCGTGTCTAATGATGATGATGATGGCTCTTGTGGTGGGTCCTTGTAGTAGATGTCAACTATTAATTTTGAGGGCTCCAGGTTTAGATACTTTGCTTATTTAGGTCACAACAACCATGGCACCCCATGAAACCTTCATATGCCATAACCCCTCCAGCATGTGATCATTTTTACCCCTTCTGTCTTCAATCTCCACTCTTTCTGCCATCTTCATGTCAATTTGCTGTGGGGACTGTAACATTTATGATCCACAGAGGATCCATGTTGCGTGTGTTCAGTACATCACCATCATCATCTTTTTAGTCAAACATTTCATTTACTTTACACACCATTTTTTTCTCTCCCAACTCCGATTTTTCTCTAGATATGTTTCTAATGAAATCAATATTTTGTTCTTTAATAACATTTCGTGTGTCATCATCTTCTTCGTAACGTAACATCACTGTTTGCTATGCTGCTGTAATAAGATAGTGCTTGTGGATGTATGAGTTGAATATAGCGGAAATATGGTTTAAAATTAATCTTCCTTATTTATAAATCACACATAGGGTAATTTATTTATAATAGAGAGGTACAACTAAAAGAGTAACCGAAATAAAATAAACAGAAGATATTGTTTGATATTGTAGTTAACAATATCTAACAATATCTTAACAATATCAAACTATATCTAAACAATATCTAACACTCCCTCTCAAGCTGGAGCATACAAATCGTATGTATCAAGCTTGTTACAAATATAATCAATTCTAGGCCCTCGTAAAGACTTAGTGAAAATATCTGCTAACTGATCACTTGAGTTAACAAACTCAGTCTTGATATCTCTAGACATCATCTTTTCTCGAATGAAATGACAGTCAATCTCAATGTGTTTTGTCCTCTCATGAAAGACATGATTATAACTAATATGAAGAAGATTATCACACACAAGTGGCATTTGAGTGACATCTTCAAATTGTAACTCTCTAACTAATTGCTTGAGTCAAACAAGTTCACAGGCAGCTGAGGGCATAACTCTATATTCTGCTTCTGTACTGGATCTTGCCACAATACTTTGTTTCTTACTTTTCCATGAGATCAAACTCTATATTATGCTTCTGTACTGGATCTTGTCACAATACTTTGTTTCTTACTTTTCCATGAGATCAAGTTACCAATGGAGACACAATATCAAACAATATCTTCTGTTTATTCTGTTTACTTTCGGTTACTCTTTTAGTTGTACCTCTCTATTATAAATAGATTACCCTATGTGTGATTTATACACAAGGGAGATTAATTTCAAACCTTATTTCCTCTATATTCAACATGGTATCAGAGTCAAAGCATAACATTTTTCCGGTTATTGTCATAGGCCAAAAGTTGTCCTTTAGTTGGGTCAAAAGTACCTTTTGTCTGGTCTGGCAGACTTCGTTAGAGGGGGCGTGTTGAAAGTCCCACATCGTCTACCTCATGTCATTTTGTATGGTTTAAATATATGTTAGACTACTCCAAATATTGTTTTATGTTGTAATCTTATCAGTATGCATGACATATATGTCGTCTTTGTTTCATGCACTTAATTTTATTTATTTATTTGTTATATCGTTGTTGTATGTTATAGTCAAAAGTAATCTTTTATTATCATTGAAACATTTCTTGTGACTTTCAATAAAAACAAGTTCGGAAATCTTAAACCGATTCACATTTGAAAGTTAATAATTTAGCGATTGGATTTGAATCAAGTGTTGGATGTCACACAATGCCATATATGTCACTTTCTATTGAAATTGAAATGAAAACAAGTGTGGATGGAAGGAATATGATTAATCTTTGAATATTCGGAACACGAAGGTCACCTGGCTTAATTAATCAAAATTAGTGAGACCAGACTCATTGACTTTAATTTTAAGGCAAACTTAAGTGAAAGAGATTGAGATCGGGTGTAACTCATGTTTTAGTAGGTAGATTCTCACCTATAAAGTTGAATAAGAGAGAATAATCTATAAACATATTGTATAGTGTATTTGTAGGAAGGATTCTTATTGTAATTTATTTTTATAGAGAATTTGAGATGTTTTATAATAAAATATTTTGTTTGAATATAAAATTTTTAAAATTTATGAAAGGAAGTTGATTATTTAAAATTATAAATTTTCAATATTTTATCTAGAAAATTTTTCCTTTTCTATTCTCTCACATTTAACTCTCTTTTCTTCATCTTTTATTTTACTCAATTTTAATATTGTTGACTTGATTTCAATTAAAATATTCTCACGATTGATAATTAGGGATTGTTGACTTCATTTCGAAAAGTTGTCAACTTAATTAGTTTCAATTGGGATGTTGTCAACTCAACTTTAATTGGATTGTTTCACATTTACTATTGTTTTTTTTTTTACTTATATAAATTGAGGTTCATCACATCTTAAAGTTAATCAAAGGTTTTTTTTTAGGTTGGTATAAGTTAAGATTAAATATTGATATTTTTGGTTGATGTTAAACACGTTTTTTTTTTCTCGTTGATCAATTAGGTTAAATTTTTTTTATTAATGTTAGTTGTGATGTTATATTTTTTTTATATGATTTATTTGTGACTTATTTGTTAAGGTATTTCTAGTGTTTCTTCCCTTTAAATTGTTCAACAAATAGTATTAGAGTTTATGATTTGTTTTGATGATCAAATGAAATAAGTAATTAATCTTAGATTTTGTATTTCTTGAATTGAAGGTCTTTCTCGTAGAAAATAAGGTAACATATCCCTTTGAGGTGAATAAAAATATAAGATTTATTATTAAGTTATACATAATTAAGGAATATTTCTCTTCGAAAGAAATGTATTAAAATAAAAAGAGATTCATGTGGGGAAAAAGATTATTAAACTTCAAAGTGTTAATTAGTAATAAGGATCTAATCTTCCTTCATGCTCTTGTTAGTTAAAGTCTCACATAATTGAGAAAAATATACAAATATATTATTTTAAAATTTTGGACTAAGTATTGAATATGATGAAATAGGTGATGAATCTTAATGAATATCTTTCATTGAAGTCTTCCCGATTAAATATTTGTAAATAAGAAATATTTATACTTAACCAACCACATGATAACATAAAAAAAACTCATATAAAAAAAGATTATTAATTAGAGATTAAATACGAATTAGAATATCATATTATATATATATAAATTATAAATTAAAATTAAAAAAATGAAAATAAAGATTCTCAATATATATATATATATATATATATTTAAATATAAATATATATTTCATGATAATATATTTTATAAAATAATTTCTCAATCGTAAATGTTGAGGAGTTTTATCATTTGAAATTGTTATTTTTAAAATTGAAAGAGACTGGAAGAACTTAACAAGGTGAAATTAGAGCATAATTAAAAAAAAATTATTTTTAAATTAAAATTGTGTAAAGGTATCAAATGGATGTTAGCGTAATGAATTTCACAACCTCGCGAAAAAACAGGATTCGAATAAAAACTATTCTTATATCACACTAGATTTCTTATTGAAGGACAATATAAACATTATTTATATTATTAATTTATTTTAATGAAAATCTACAAATAAATGTTTTAATATATAAATAATATTTTAAATATAACAATGAACACTTTGTGTTTATAGTATAATATAAAGTTAATTTGAACCTTACTCAAAACTCACCTAAGATAGTCAACATAAGACAAGTATATTAAGGGGAATAAGCAATTAAAAAGAAAAGTCAAAGATATAAATAAAGATAAAGGAGGTTAATTTAAGAGAGTTGAAAAAGAATTTTCATATTAGTCATATTAAATGCAGTTTTAAAGAGATAAAAGAAATTTCAATAATGTTTAATTGAAAGGATGAGTCTAAATTGTAGTATTTTAAATAATTTTCACTTGTAGTACATTCGAATTAAAATGTATTAAATAGCTTTAAGTAATGTATTAAAAATATGTTACTAACAAGTCACCACATTATCATACAAGTGGTTGAGGAAGCTTGATTGGGTGGGAGAAGAATAAAATGGAAGGTATCACATTGAAGAACGTAAGCACGTTTCTTGCCACAGTATTATTCCCATCCACTCTAACTTATTTTATTTCACAAATAAATTTATTTGTTGTTCCAGAGTCTCCTCTTTATATATGATAAATGATAACATTTAGATCAATTATCATATTTTTAAAATATATTGATTTAAATATGTCACAATTCTATCTTTAAAAAATATATAATTAATAAAATAATAAAATATATACAAATTATTCAATATGACATTCATAAAAATATAAAATATATGCTAATAACTATAAACGAAATATATTTGTTTACTATTATTTTTATATGATGATATGTTAATATTATTTGTAGATATTTTTTTTATTTAAGTAGTATTGTAAGTTATGAGTATAAAAATATTCTTTGAATTTTTTTTTATAAATATATTTTTTGTTGGTAAAAAAATAATTTTTTTTACTGGTTAACTAATTAAAAATATATTTTATAAGATTATTCATCTTCTTCATATTTTTAGTAAGTATTATTTACCTCTCTTATTTTATTTAAAAAATAAAATATTAATTACAAATTAAATTTTCAAAGCATAAAGAGTAAATATTTTATAATTAAAAATTGAATGGTTTAGTTATACGAAAAATGTAACCACTCCTGAATATTATTTAAACGACATTCATTTTTTTTTCAAATATATATATTCCCATATTTTATATACTTAATACAATATCAACAACACACATATTCTTTATTTTATTTTTTATTTGCAACATATTTATATTTTTATTAAATTCATATTTAAATATAAAAATAAATTAAATTATATATTTTCTAATTACTTATTTATTTTTATATTAAGACAATGTTTTATTAAACATATAATTGGTTATATTCTTATGAAACAATTTATAACTTATTGATTATAACTTTTTTATTGATATATTATTGGAAATACATACGTTAAAATATCTGTGTATTTATATTTTTTTACATAATTAAAATTTTCAAAATATTATTTTATTTTCTTTTTATATTTTTAAAATATACTCAGTTTTTTTCTTTATTTTTTCTTTCTCATATATTTATTATTTTTTAAACATATAAATTATAATAATTATATTTTTGAAAAAATTATAACATTTTTTGTGAAAAAGAACTATTTCAAAATGGATTCATTTGTATATAATTATAAATAGTAATTAAATCCTTACATACTTGTTTTTTTTTTTGGTAAATAATATGAAAAAAAAGTAAATTTTTTTGTCCTCCGCAGTTGGAAAGAAAGACAAAATAAAACTCGAAAAGGAGTTTTGGAGAGAAAAAAAAAAATATATATATATATATATATATATATATATATATATATATATATATATATATATATATATATACGATAAAGATTATATTTATTTTGTAAACGAAGAAGATAGGGAATAACGTGGAATAACGTCTTATCAAGACCATGTTCACTGTCATGCTTATATTGGTACTAAAAAGGAGGGTGGAAGGGTAAAGTGGGAATAACAATTGAAAGATAGACAAGACCTTTAAACCTGCAACCACCATTTTATTTAGGAAGTGTTGGAGCTACGTAGGACCACCCTCGTACGTAACATGAGTACTTGGTTCCACTATGTAACCAAACAAGCCTCATACTCAAACAAAATAAAGCACGTTACGTTTCCTCTTCTCCTTCCATTAACTCCCTATCACCACAACATTCTCCATTTTCTCACAAAATTAATTATTATATTTCTCATTTTTAATCAAATTAAATAAATAACTTATTTAAATAATTGATTGGAATCTTCCATGTTGTGTGGAAGGAGCCTCACTGTGGGCTTGTACTTGGGCTTACCAAGGTTCAATGTTGAGCAAGTTTGAAAACGATGGGCTTACCATGTGAAAAGTGAAACAAGTAGGCCAGGGCCCATAGTAGGCAATTAAAGCCCATAAGATGTATTTAGCCCGACCATTATATCTTTCATGAACTGTAATCTATTCTTTTTTCTACACTCCACGTGAGACTGTGAGATGTGAAGTGAAATTAAGTTTATATCGATCATTAATATTAAGTGAATAATAAGTATTTCTTATGAAATGTATGAAAATGAAGGTTTAGAAGTAATTATAAAGGGTGATTGAAGAAGGCAATCATAGAAGGTTGGACCCCATAACTTGAATTGAAAAGGGTTGTCTGTGATTCTCAAGACACAATAATTTTGCACTATGATTGAAATTAGGGGACCAAGAAAAACCCATTAACTGGGGCTACAACAATCATTTTTTTGGGTACAGGCATAATGAATTTATACAAGCATGAGTTTATTTATGCATTTCATTCAGTATTTATTTTTACTATTTTTGCGATACATTATTTAAAAACAAAAAACACAGCAATTGTAACCATATCTTTAATTAGCATCTATTGTTACTCTATAGCTTCTTATATAATAAAATAATTAGTATGACTTTTAACGTAATATAATAAAATTGTCATTGTTTATTGCTTTTAAAAATAGTTTTATTTTTTTTTAGTTTTAAAAGATAAAAATATTATTTGGTAGTTGCCTATATAGAAATAAATCAATAAATGTTCAATGTTTTATAAGTTTATGATAAAATTCATGTAATGTAGTTTTATTGACTGAATTTAGGCATGACAACGTGGCAGTGGGGCCGGGTTTTGCCTCCCGATCCCCGTCCCCGACTTTTTAACCATCCTCGTTCCCGCTCCCGATCCCACGGGTTAGAAATTAAGTCTCCATCCTCGTCCCGTTGGGTTTCGGGTTCCCATCCCCGCCCGTTCCCGATTTATATTATTTTTAAAAAAATAATTACATTTATAATAAATTCATTTTACTATGTATTTTTATATATAAATAATTATAATTTATAATTATTATTAATTAAATATACATTTTAATTTATTATATTTATATTAAAATATATATGTAAAAGAAATATTTAATCATTTTTTATTTATATATATATATATATCTAATATTTATAACATTATTATTATTATTATTATAACACTCGTATTCAAATATTTGAATATTTACAATATTATTATTATAATACTGTATTTAAACATTTGATTATATATATAAGTTAATTCATTTTTAAGTTGTCATTAAAAATATGAAATATATAGTTTATAAGAAAATATTTAATAAGTTAATTCTTATTTAATTAGTTTGAAGTAATAAAAGTTTAAATTATTAATTCCTTCTAATCCTTTAAAATATAATTATTTTATTAAGATAAAATTTGATATATGATAAGTAAGCATAATAAGATAAAAAAATATGACATAATAAAATATAATAAATATAAATTATAAATAAACTAATATTAGTTACTACTAAGATTTATGTAAAATATTTAGAAAAAATATAAAGAAGAAAAAAATAACTTTGTGTTTATCAAATTAGTTGAAAAGATTGAAAAAAAAAACAAATTGATGGGAGAGATTAAGGAAATATGAAAAACTGAAAGATAAGAGAAAGAATAATATAATAAATTAATTGATATAAAAGATTGAAAAAGATAAAAAAAATTAAAAAGTGGGTAGAAGAAAAATAAAAATTGCTAAAATATAAAAAAAGAACCTTATATGTAATAGAAAAAGAAAATGAAATAGTTTTAAAATATTAATATTTTAAAATTTAAATTTAAATATAAAATCGGTGGCGGATGAGTCGGGGTTGGAGATCGCATCCCTCGACTTTTTAAAGTGGAGAAAACCCGACCTCCGCCATTCCGGTTTTCAACTCGGGACGGGGACGGAGTCGGTCCCACACGTATAGGTTTAATTGTCATCCTTAATTGAATTATTAAAATTTGTAGTTATTATAGTTGATAACTGTATACACGAATTATAGTTGAATTTCATTTACAATAATCATAAATGAATTTTATTAGATTATGGTTAATTAAATCAGATTGTACTTAAATTAATTTGTAGTTATTATAGTTGATAACTGTATACACGAATTATAGTTGAATTTCATTTACAATAATCATAAATGAATTTTATTAGATTATGGTTAATTAAATCAGATTGTACTTAAATTAATTGCAGATTTTAGTTTTAATCGAAAAGAAGTTACCGACGAAAATATTGGCTAATAATTAATACTTTATATTTATCAATTACTATCTATAAGTTTATATTATCAATAATTATCGATGATATGATAACCGTTGATAATTATTGATAGTATATATATATATATATATATATATATATATATATATATATATATATATATTAATAATTATTGACAAATACATAAAATTTATAATGATATTGACAATTTTTTTTATTAATAATTTATCTATAATTAATATTCATTGACAAAGTTTTGATATTATCGACACACAGATTTTGTTTGTGGATAATTTCCTTATAATAATATGTATATAAATAAAACGTACTAAATTTAAATTTTAATTTAAACAAGAATTAAATTAGAATTATTAAATTTAAAATACATAAAAAATAAGCCAAAAGTTACATGACTTAATAAAAAAGTATTCTAAAAGAATTAACATTTTTAATTTCTTTTATTCAAAGAAAGTGTTTTTGACTTTTAGTTAATAAAAAAGTATTATACTTATTTTTAATTCCTTCTCTCTCTAACATTATAAAAACTGTTTTATTTTATTTGAAGTTCATTTTCTAAAGAAATTATAAACAATTCAATTAAAAATACATCATAATATAAATTACTTATCGTAAATGAAAAAGTATTTTATTTATTTAAAAAACACTAAAGCTTTCACTATAATATGATTTATATTTTGTATTTATAATAAATTTTACTTACATAAAATAAATACTTATTTTATACCATAAACAAGCTAAAATACTAATTAATTATATTGTAAATTAATGCACAACTTAAAATAGTAAAATTCTCTTATGTTGACTTCTTGATAAGATATCATCAATGTTATTTTCTTTCTTTCAAAAATGCATTTTCTTTCAACCATCTTAAATCAACATGCTATTTCTATACTATTTTTCTTAACTTTATACCACTTTTAATGTATTATCATTTATATTTATCTCTCACTTAAATTTGAGTACTTTTTAAAAGAAGTTCTTAATGATTAAACTAATATATCACAAGTAAACTTATTTATTTTAAATCTAAAATACAATATTATATATTTACAAATATTTATTTATTATAATTTGAAATTATCAAGTCATTTATTTAGTTAATAAAAATTTATTTATTATAAATTTTAATTTATAAAAAAATAACAAGATATTATAGCATTAATAAACCTAATGAAACTGCTAAGTTAACAAATCTACAAAGTAACCAAAGAAACAAAATAGATAGGATCTTGCTCAAATCTCCACTGTTAAAGTCAAATAAATCTAGGCAGATTCTTCGTAATCTAAACTAATTATTTCTAATTATTTAAAAAATCTATACACTTCAGTTTTTTGAAGTGGTTGGTTAGTTTATGCTTAATCTGTAATCATATCATATTGAAAAACAAAGTGAAGCAGTTAAATATTTGTTATCTTTTCAATAAACCCCACGTCATGATGAGATTTTGAGATAAAAAATGAACCTTGAAATATAAGAAGGTAAAAAAAGAAGAGAGAAACAGTTCAGCGTCCCCACCATGGAAAGCTCACAAAGGAAAAGAAGAGGAACAGAAGAACTCCATCAACATTTCAAGAAGCTGGAACAAGAGTGGGAAGCTTATAAGGAATCCAAGTCAACCACAACAACATCACGCAGACATTCCCTTTCTCCTTCAAACCAAACCATTCACAAGCCACACAAATATTCTCCCAGAGAACTCATGTTCAACCTCCAACAAGAGTCCCCCTCACCACCAGAGGCATGGAGGAAAGTGACGAGAACCAAAGGCGTTGCAGTGCGAGAGATCCTCCAAGAGCGTAGGGATGCTTTCCGAAGAGGAAAGTTGAAGGGTCGACGACTTTTTCAGTCATCAACTACGGAAGGAGAGAATAGCGACAGGGAAGTGAGATCAATGTCTTTCTATAACTTGGATGATGAATCTAATGGAAGTGAAGGGGTGCATGATTATTGTAACCTCCGTGAGCCTTATTATTCTTCCTCGTCATCTTCTTCGTCTTATCTTGCCGGTGATGACTACCACGACCAAGACATGGAGAAAGTGGTGCAGTTGGTGCCATTGATAGTAGAGATGAGAGTTGCTAGTGTTAGTGGTAGTCGTGGCAATGGAAAAACGAGGTACGCTGTTTTCTTAGGATGGCTTGCTATTATCTTGCTCGTGTTTGCAATGTGGATGCGCTTGGAAAAGATCTTCCATGGAGATGATTGCGACGAGTTTTTGGTTCCAACATGAAATGATTAATAAACTGTTTTTAGGATTATGATACATAGTATAGTATTTGAGAATATACACTGTTAGAAACTATATATATATATATATATATATATATATATATATATATATGCATCTGCACAAATTCTGTGCTTGCTTTCTAGAAGTTAATGACTTAGTTTCTCTAAAATATTTTCTTTTGGTTATTATACTTGAATCCATAACAGAACATAATACATTGTGCTTTTGATATAAATGTTTAGGAAGACAACATTTTTGAGAAATTCATGAGTATGTTTGATCAGAAGCAGATAGGGAAATAAATATACAAACAAGACGAATTATGATTTGAAATGTCAATTATCGAAGGCATTAAGGTCCTTTGCACAGTATGAATAGCTTCCATTAATAATCCCTTCATGTTCTATTCCAACGGGGGCGGCACATTACTGAGTAGGTTGCTTATGAGTAGGTTTCCCAAGATCTGATCGAAGGTTTCCACTGACTTATCCACAGGGTGTGTATGTGTCCCTTCGTAGGTTGTGACCACGATCTGCTCATCTTGGGAATGGCGTTGGATTTGTTTCTTAACATTGCACCCTCGATGAGCACACCTGTAGTAACTTCTGAAAAGATTTATAAACTTAAATGCTCAGTATAATCGAATGGTGTGTACCAGGTGGATGTTGGGTGTACATGAATCAGTGTACTTTTTGTTATTAGTAATTATGATAGTAAACAAAATTTAAGACTTAATGGAGAAAGTCAGTTTCCTTGCCCTTCAAATATCATATGTACATTTTGAAATCGGAATAAAACATGTATATTTTTAGAATTTTTCTCTGGTAAGAAAGCTTCAAGAGGGTGACCAGTCTTACGAATAATGTATCTTTGTGCCGGTTGATAAAGATAGTGAATTATTATAATTAAAGTCTCCCGAGGGGCAGTGGTCGAGATGGTTACGTAGAATCAGCATTGCACCGTACTGTTGATGAAAACAAATGCTAAAAATTAAAAAAAAGTACCAGAGATTTTGGAGAAAGTATAAAAGATAATAATTGGGTGAAACAAAACTCTTGATAAACCTGATTTTGAGAAGATAACAAATACTTAAAAAAAAATAAGAGAGATTTTGGAGGAAGTATAAAAGACGATAATTGGGTGAAACAGATTCGACTATAAACCCTCTTTGTGATGAACTTGAACGTGTGAGAATGAATGATTCAGAAAGATTTTTTTGAGTACATCACGTGTTGAGGCTACAAAGAACCAACTTAATTGAAATTGAGAGATCAATTTCTCTAATGACAAGTGGTGGAAAAGATTTTAAGATCATTGATCGACGACTTCAAGAATATTGTGTGTGTGATTGAGGACCTATTTAAGCTCATGATGCTGGTTTTCTTAAAGAAGAGAAAACTCTCTACTCTCATAATACTTGTGATAGAGGGAGGACATAGAGGTCGAGCTCAAGGTGATAGAGATTGTAGAATAATAGAGAAAAGAAAAAGTCAAACCAACAAAATTGGTGTGGTAGAAGATGTGTTCGAAGAGGAGGTAAACCTATAGTGTTGAAAGCTATAAATGTGACAAATATGATCATTATGTGATCAAACAAATGTTAAAATTGTGAAAATGTGAGACATTTCACTAAAGAATGTTGAGTTGAGAAAAAGGTAGAAGAAACAAATCTTATGGAGGAGGTAGAAATGATAGTCCTAATGGTCGATCATAGGTTGGGAAACAACCAAGAGCTGATTACAGGTCGAAAGGATGTGAAGGTATCGATTACAACTTGCTATGATATCTAGATAGGATGCAAGTAATCACATATGTGGTGACCAAAACTTGTTTAAAGAATTAATGAAAGTAGAGATTGAATATGTGTCTTTTAGAGATGCTTTGAAGGTCTCGGTAAAAGGCTAGGTACGATTCACTACTTGCAGAAGAATAACCTAGTCGGGTCAATGCAAGATGTATATTATGTTCTAGATCTAAAAAATAACATCTTGAACATGAGACAACTGATGAAAAGAGGTTATTCGATATTCATGAAAGACCAAGTACTACATTTGAAGGATAAACTTGAAAGGTTGATCGCCTGAGTTGATATGGGGAAAAATAGAATATACAAGTTGCAGCTGAAAAACATTTGTGAGAAGTGGTTGAAATTGAATGTAAATGATATAGTATTGACGTGACATCATCGGTTTGATCATCTATATTTTGGTGTCTAACTGAGCTGTCAAAGAAGAACATGGTGTATGAATTATCAAATATGGAGTGTGAAGGGAGATTTTGTGAAAGATGTGTACGCAGTAAATAAGCGTGGATCCCATTTTGATAAAAAGTAGATTATCGCGCAATGAACAATTCAAACTAATTCATTGATTTGTGTGGACCGATTACCCTTGAATCATTTAGTGGCAAGATGTGTTTTATAACTTTTGTTGATGATATCTCAAGAAAAACATGAATTTTACTTTTTGAGAGAAAAAAAAATCTGAGGTGTTTGAGGTATTCAAGAGTTCAAGGTAATGGTGGAATAGACAATTAGGAGACATAACAGATCAACCCGATCTGATAGAGTTGGACAGTTTACATCGACAACTTTTATGAAATATTGTGAAGATAAAGACATAAGAAGATTTCTAATAGTATCGTACTCATCACAACAAAGTGGTGTGACAAAGAGGAAAAATCAAATTATTATTACATTGTTCGATCAATGTTGAAGAGTAAGAACATGCCAGATGAATTATAGGTAGAGGTAGTACAATGTGTTATTTATGTGTAAAATAGGTGTTTATATGCAAAGTTGAATGATATAACACCACAGAAGACATGGAGCGGTAAAAAATCAATCATATCTTATCTTAGAGTGTTCGATAGTATTACTTATGAACATACTTGCTCAACAAAGGATGAAGCTTGAAAATATGAACAAGAAGTATGTCTTTATTAGATATGATGAGAGAATGAAAGCTTATAAGGTGCTAGACCCAATAAGCATGTGAGTTGTGATGCCTGAGTTAATGAAGCGAGTGAGTGAAATTGGGATGACCTATTCGAGAATGCTAGTGGAAACCGAGGATCAATAGTTGTTATACCACCAATTATAACGAGTTCTAAAATTGATGATGAGGAGGAGCCATAACCCAAAATGCATAGTTTACAAGACCTATACAACTTGACAAAAGAGGTACATATTGTATGTCTTTTGGCATATTCCGAGGATATAGGGTTTGAAGAGACTATATGTGATGAGAAGTAGCAAACTGGTATGAATAAGAAAAATCGAGTTATAGAACGTAACGACACGTGAGTGATGATTGAGTTGTCGAGTTAATCACAATTGATTGATGTAAAATGAGTATTTGAAAAGAAGATGAATACATAGGGTGAGATAGAAAGGTATAAAGCTCAACTGATTGCAAAAGGTTACAATATAAATTACAGATCTTGCATATGGATGTTAAGTCAACATTTTGGATTGTGTGCTCAAAGAAGAAGTGAATATTGAACAACCACTTGGATACGTGAAGAAAGGAGAGGAGATGAAACAAATTCCTCGGACATGGATCAATCAGATAAATACCTATTTCAAGGAGAATGAGTTTGAACAATGTCTTGTATTTGAAGAAAAATATAGGTAATGTAATATTTGTTTCTCTTTATGTTGACAATCTCATTTTATGAGAAATAATTCTAGAATGATTGAAGAGTTTAAGAGCACAATGGAGAAAGAGTTTGAGATGACCGATCTGGGTATATGATGAAATTTTTCTTTGGTTTGGAGGTTACACAGGATGAGGCGGGAAGAATATTTTTGTTCCAAGAGGAAATTCTAGACAAGTCCAAGATCGTCAGATTCGACCTAAACCCCTTGGAACCAGTTACGAAACTTTAAAAGTTTGGTAAAGGAAATTGAGTTTATCTGAGTAGATATTAGAGCTTAATAGAAAATCTTCATTATTTCAGATGCACAAGATCCAATTTGTTGTTGAGCATTAGGATTAAAAGTCGATTTATGGAAGAGTTGAGCTATTCACACTAGAAGGCGTTGAAAATAATACTAAGGTATATCCGAGGTATAATGTCACTTGACTGTTTTATACTATATCGGACAATTATCGACTTGCTGTGTATTTGAATAGAAATTGATGTGAAAATGCGAATGATTGAAAAAATACATCGGGATATGTATTTTTTGAGAAATAAAACTTTTACTTAACTTTTGAAGAAATAACCCATAGTGACACTATCAACGTGTGAACTCGAGTGTGTAGCAACATTGTTGTTTGTGTGTCATGCAATGTGACTTAGAAATTTGCTAAGCTTGTTAGAAGAACAATAACTTAGTACGATTGTGATACAAGTTGATAACAAGTTGTTTATTGAACTAACAAAAAATTGATTATCCATGAAAGGAATAATTACATTGATATGCATTTTTATTTTATCCATGAACACATGTGACGAGTCAAGATGAATATATTCATAAATCATTATCTATAATATTATCCAGAAAATTGATCAGAGCAAAAGATAAAAAATGAAATCATATGTTGGTTAGGTTGATCATCGATCTCAATCAATAAAAGAAAAATATTTAAGTTTATGGAGAAGTTTTGTTAGATAAACTTAAATATCAGTTTGTAATAAAACAGTTATTAATTGAACAATTACATTTTTTATCATTAATAATTATCATAACTAATAGAAGTTAAGAGTTAGCATATAGATATACATTTTGAAATTGGAATAAGAAATATACATTTTTAGAGATTTTCCGTTATGATGGAAGCAGCAATAAGGAATGCCTAAGCAGGCAAAAGATATCAATACGAAATGCAGAAACGAAGATAGAATCACTATTTTTCTATTGAGGGTAACCTTTAGTTTATTGATTGGTTAAACAATGCTAGCTAGGACTATACAAGCAGTATATAATGGACTACCGATCCTATATATTTCTAAATTGTCCGCAGATGGTAGCTTAGTTACTAAGATATTCTCCATTTCTACATTGTTATTACTAGCTACTAAGATATTAATCAAAGTGTGTTAGTGTAATTTGCTTTTATGATTCCTAAAATGGATAAATTTAAAAAAAAAATTCAAATACGAATTCATATAAAAAATAGTGTTCTAAAAGACGGTTTTAGTTTTTTCAAAATAGAAGTTATATATATATATATATATATATATATATATATATATATATATATATAATATAAGTTGAAGTTGAATTTGAAATTAATATAATTTTTTTATTGAAATTGTCTTTTAAACTATGACTTTAGTTGAATTTTTTAATACTAAAATCGTTAATTGGTTGATAATTTTAATTAATTTTTTTACGATTTTAATTCATATATTTTAAATTAATTTTTTTTATTTAGTAAAAATTTGATTTTAATATTTATTAAAATAAAAAAGTATTAATTAATTATTATTTAGACATTAATAATATTAAATATATTTTAAATATATTAAATTGTTGAAAAAAATGTATTAATATGTTAAGTAAAAAAAATACACATTAAAAAAAGTATAAGAGTATCAAATTCCCAACATGGACATCCCGTAAACTATACTTAAATTAAATGAATGGTGCTATAATTGTGGAGAGTTTCAAGGTCTCTTACTTCTTTATTCTCATGTAATTGTTGTGTTCATATTATCACTTACACATTGACATATATGTTGACCCTGTATAAGTTACAAATTATTTACGGACTTATGATATCCAATTTCATCCAATTTTGAAAAGACTATTGGTCACCTTATTTAGGTTCAAATTTATTCATAATCCAAGTCTAGGTCGACAACAACACGAAGATCAACAACAAATCATATTTATAATGAGATGAATGAATTTGTTTTAAATAAGACAAAACAATGTTTATTTTGTTGAAATGAAGGTCATCATGTGATAATTGTCCATTTCATCAATAAAAATATAAAATTTTATTTTCTTATATAATAGATGCATATTTTTCTCATTAATATATCCATATTTTTTAAAATAATTTACTATATTTAAAAATTATTTAATGTTATAGCTATCTAAATAATAATTAATTATTTTATTAATTTTTAAATATTAAATAAAACTTTAGAAATAAAATTTTAATTTAAAATATTTGAACTAAAATCGGTAATAAATTGAAAACTTTAGTATAAAAAAAAGAATTAAAGTCATCGATAAATTTATAACTTCAATAAAAAATAAATTAAACTAAAATCTAATTTTAAAAAAATTATACTAAAATTATTAATTTGAACACCACTTCAACAAAAAATAAAAATAAAAATATCACATAAAATAATTGTTTATTGGTGTACGACTTCAACCAAAGATACAATTTCTTTATAATAAAATCGTATATTACCTATATTCAATTTTTTTAATTTATCTATTTTAAGAATAAATAAAGCAAATGACACAGTTTACCATTTACCATAAAATGACACATTTTATACTTTTCTAAATGAAAAGATAGCATCCTAAATCATGTTACTTTGAGTTTTTTGTTGGTATCTTTTAATGTTAAAAAGGATGCGAAGGGTAAAGTTCAATATATTCGTATATATATACAGTAGATATATCACAATTAAGTATAACAGGTTTAAAAAAAGAGCAGAGTACATTAAAAGCCTACAAATAAAACTGATAAAATTTAAAATATAAAGTGGGACTGACCTTGGGAAACTATTGTTTTTCACATTCTTTTTCCCATACTTTCTCCACTGGTAGCCATCATCCAGAACATCAATAGGACTCCTTGTTTGAAATGCATATCGGTGCTGCTTAACATCCTTGTCACTTTCGTTCTGAGATATTAAAGCCTCTAGCTCAACATGAACACTGGAATTATAAGGAATTTCAAAATCAGATGATAAAACAGTCGATGATGTAGATGCAGTAGGGAGCATCATTTGGTGTTTCTCCATTGATTAAAAAGTAGGTGAGCCAGTACTAGCTAGCTAGAAAGCTATATATATTTAATTGTTGAGTTTAGGTTTTATATAGATAATTACATCCATAAGTATTTATAGATTTTTTTTCCACAAATTAAAATAAATCTATACATCCAATTTTTCCACAGTGAAGCATCGTGAATCATGGGTGGATGCGTGTACTTCAATTAGGTCATTAGTAAGACTTATAACTTATGGTCATCACTACACCAATCAATCATAATCATACACCAAATATCTAATGTAGGCTAGGATGTTGCTAATAAATATTGTTTTTTCTTTTTAATTTTAGTATTAATATAAATTATTCACTAAAAATGTAATGATTAATATATATCTTAAATTTATATCTTGGTTTATAACACAATATATAAAAGCTTTTTTTATTTTATTTTTATAATAGTTTAATACATTACTTATCTTATATTTTTTTTACTTTTTTAATTACATGTTCAATTTTTATAGAATGTAAATAAAATAAAACAAATATAGGTAATTAAAATATTATTATTTTTTTCATTATTTTAATCAAATATTTCCTTTAATATTTTCTTTGAAATAAATAAAAATAATAAAACCATGATAACTTTAAGATAAATACTTATATTTTAAAATTAATGTATATATTAAATTTTAATTTATTGAAATTAAAAATATGAACATACATATGCATAAGCACATCTATTATATATAAAGGATTTCTTTTATAGTCGTTTTTAAGTGTTATAAGAGAGAAAATATAATATAAAAAAATGAGTTGTTATGATTTACAAATTTTAAAAAATAATAAAAATATGAGAATGAAAAAAGAAAGTGAAAATAAATAAATATATTTAAAGAGTAAAAAGAGAAAATAAAATAAAGTTTAAAATAATATTTTAAAATTAATTATAAAAATTTAACACACACATGCACTTTATATAAAAAATAATTCTTTTTTTTATAATTATTTTTTCACCATTTTTAATATTATATTAGTTTTATTAAATAAAAATAATTATTTTTTATGATATAGTGAATAGAAAAAAATAGCTATTATGATATTACAAAAATAAAAAATATTATATTATGTTTTAAAAAGCAGAGAAGATATTTTTTTATTATTTTATAAAGAAAAATTTAAATAATATAATATTATAAAAAAGTATTTTAAATAAATTTAATAATATAAAAATACAGATACAAATTATATATAATAGAAATAATTATTTTATATAAGTTTGATAATATAACAAATTGTGAATGCAATCTTTTCAAATGTTACCCTTTGAAAAGGAGTATATATGATTAATAAAAACAAAAATTAAAATATATAATATATTTTTTCAGTTATTTTTATTTATCTATTTTAGTTTTATAAACTTAAAAATATTTCACTTACTATTTCTCTTTTATATTTTTTAAAACTAAAAAAAATAAATAACAATTTTAAAAAAATAATTTCTTATTTTATTGATTTTAATTTTTTAATATATTTTTTAAGAAAATAATTATTTTTTAAAAATTAAATAATTCAAAATTATTTTACAAAATAATAAACAAATATTCTCATCCACTCCACCAGATATCTCAACAAATTTGTAAGCACATAATTTTTTATTATACTAAAATTATTAAAAGAAATGCTAAAATTAAAAATATTAATTTTTTCTAAAAAGTTTTTTTTTATATAAAAACAAGATAAATTTTGTTATTTATTTAAAAAATTAATTTAAAAATGTATCACATTTGTTCTAATAAAAAGTTAGTTAATAATTTATCTTATTTAAATTATTTAGATAATTATCATCTCATTTGGAAAGAATTTATGTCGCTAACATGAAACGATAGAAGAAAATTTAATGCATCAAGGGGATTATTATTATTTTATTTTAAAAAAATATATATTCAAGAGGAGAAAGCATACCACCAACGATAAACTATAATTAAATTTTATTTTTTATCTTTTCATTGAAATTCATACTCTTTATTTTCATAGTCATTTAATAAAAATGCACTCAAAACGCACACAATAAAAAAAAAGTTCAAGTTAATGGATTATGATAAACAAAACCCACTTCTATACTATTAAGATTTAACAATTTTGAACTGACTAAATTGATTAATTGAACTATATTTAAAATTTTTGAATTGTTTTAAGAAAAAAATGATTGAATTAAATTTCACAATTAATTTAGTTTTTAAAAATTGATTTGTTTTCAGATAAATTTGTTTAAACTACAGTTAACTTTTAGAATTGAAAAACATACTTTAAACATAAGATATTCATTAATAATAGTTAAACCAATTTAGTTTGTTCAAGTAATTTGGATAAATTTAATTTGATTCAATTCATTTAAATTACAGTGGTTTATCTTAATAATTATACAATTCAATTCATTTCACTTAAATCATTTCTAGAGTTCAGTTGAATTATACCATAATTAAGTTCATTCTCAATGTCACAGGGACTGTCACATTTTTTCTTTGTTATAAAATTTGTTTCAATTGGACTAGGGTCTTGAAGGTTTTATGGCCTAATAATCAATATAGCGTGTACAGTTGAATGGTGTTTCTTCCTATACCCCCATATTTATATAAAATAATAATATTTTCTCTAATATAAACGGGTTTTAAAGGTTTATTATGAAATTTTTTTTAATTTCTGAAAAATTAATTTCAAAACGTTTTGTTAAAACTTTTGAAAAATCAGTCCAAGAAATTTTCAAAATGAAATTTCTAGACATTTCCTATATTGACCTTCCTGAAAGTTTTTCCAAAATCATTTTTTTAAATATTTGTGAATAGATAATTCTGAAATGTTCTCGAAAAGCTTTAAAGAAGATGAGTTCAATAAAATTCTAGAAAACTCATTTCAGAATTTTTCTAAAAAGTGGATCAAAATAATAATATATACAAGATTACCCATAAATTTATTACATCTCCCATGTTCTTCTAACGTTCATCCCATCACTTTCCTTTCCACTTCCGCGTGGTACATGTTCATCCACTTCGGTCAGAGATAACGAGGGTGACACTGATGTTCCTGCAGCATAAAAGAAGAAACGACGTAGTACACGCGAAAAGTTCCACGCCACTCAAATTTTATTTTAGTGTTTATTTTTTTATTATAAAATGAGCATAATATTTATTTTATAAAATATATTAAAATTATTTTTTTCTTGTTATTTTAGTATTTAAAGATAAATTAAAAGAGAAAAATAATTTCTTTTTTTAGATTTTTTTAGAATTATTTTTCCTTTATTTTTAAAGTATTATTGTTTTATCATTGGAGACAAGAGAAAAAAATGATTGTAATTTCTTTTATTAGTAGAATTAATTTTTTGTTTATTGTCGATATTTTTCTCATTTTTTTTATTTTAGTTGTATATCCTTATGCTTTTGTCTGATACCTAAGGTATCACAACCACATGTTATGATATTAGTCTTCTCGTGCATAGTAATTAAAATAGTATTGGAGAAAATTCTTAGTATACTTTTTGGTTGTGATTAATCTGATCTTCCACGTCAGAAAAAAATTATTCTTGTTACTGGATATTATTTGGTAGTATGATAGTGCATGTCTAGCAAAAATTCTGACAAGGAAAGACTTGATATTTAAGTACATCCATTAGTGACTCACCTCTTTTTCCTGGAAACTTACCTGGTGTACTGGTACACGGTCTACCGTTGTTGTTCCAGTAGGCAATACTATTCATAATGAGGATTGCATAACTCGGTCTGGAACCATGACAACAAAATATGAGATAGAGAAGTTCAATGGTCATTGTGAAAATTGAAGATAAAGACAATTTTGAGGAAGGACAATTGTATTGATGCAATTGCGGAAAGAACCGTGGAACACACGAATGAATGACGATGGAAATAAATGAATGATAATGCTATTGAGAATTTGCACTTATCAATGACAGATTCGGTTTTATCTAGTGTTGCAAAGAATACTACTGCAAAGGAGATTTGTGATACCCTCATTAAACTATATGAGGTGAAGTAACTTCATACAATAATATTCTTGAATAAAAAACTCTATACTCTTCGGATGAGTGAGTTCACATCAATGACGAATCATATCAACCATTTGAATACCTAGTTTGCCCAACTATTAGCGGTAGATTTCAACATAGTTGAAAATGAACGTGCAGAGCTTCTACTTCAGAGTTTACCTGATTCGTATTATTAACTCATCATCAATATTACAAATAATAATATTGGTGAGAATATGCACTTTGAGGATGTCGTTGAAACTATTCTTGAAGAAGAATCCAGGCAGATGAGTAAGGGCGAAAGTTCCAAACAAGTAGAGACTTTGACAATGATGAGAAGAAGATCAATGGAACGTGGCTCGAGTAATGATAGATCGAGGTCTCGAAGTAAGAAAAGTTCTAAAATCAAATGTTACTTTTGTAACAAGAAAGGGAATACGAGAAAAGAGTGTTAGAAGAGGAAGAATGGAGGAAACAACTCTGAAGAATCAACCTCACAAGATTATGTTGTAAGTACCTCAGAAGATGGAGATATTCTAGTGAGCGAAGCATTAATTAGCTCTAATGGTGAAAAGGACTTTCATGATAAGTGGATAGTGGATTCAAGTGCAACATGACATATGACTCCACACTGAGATTAATTTCACACTTATGAACTATTCTTAGGTGAATCCGTCTTCATGAGAAAAATCATGCATTGGAGATTACTGGAGTTGGTACCATCAAAATTAAAATGTATGATGGTACTGTTCACACAATTCAAGAGGTATGACATGTGAAAGACTTGAAGAAGAATCTATTATCCATTGCACAATTAGATGACCTCGGGTGTAAGATCCATGTTGAAGGTGAAATCTTGAAGGTGGTGAAGGGGAGTTTGGTGGTCATGAAGGCAAAGAAGATCATGGAAAATTTGTAAGTGTTGCTTGGAGATACGTTGCAAGAAGCAGATGTATCAGTTGTGGCAACAAG